AGACCCTTCATCAGAAATTTCTGATGAAGGGTCTAGGCCCGAAACGTCAGCCTCTCTGCTCCTATGATGCTGCTTGGCCTGCTGTGTTCATCCAGCCCTGCACCTTGTTGTCTCGGATTCTCCAGCATCTGCAGTTCCTACTATCTCTTATTGTTGGTATCCACTTGCTTGAGTCAATGTAGACCACCAACTAACAGGAAAGATATAGAGGAACAAATCTCCAAGGAAATTACAAAGAGATGCAGATATCATGGAATTGTTTTAATCAGGGATTTTACTTGCCTGAGTGTAGACTGGGATAGTGGTATTTTAAAGAGCCATGAAAGGTAAGCGTTCTCACCTTATCTTCAAGAGTATAAAGAGTACAAGAGGTGGCAAGTTATGCTGAACTTGTATAAGATACTAATTCGAAATCGGTTGGAGTGTTCTGTGCTGTTCTAGGTGCTTTAGGAAAGGTGTAAACACGTTGGAGAGTGTAGAGGAAATTTACGAGAATGATTCCAAGGATGAAAATCTTCAGTGATGAGGATAGATTGGAGGCAATGGGACGATTTCCTTGGTGAGGAGATTTCATAGAAGCTTGCAAAACCAAGGCGGGACTGGACAGAGTAGATATGGAGAAATTATTCCCTTTATAAAAGGATCAAGAACAAGAGGGCGCAGTTGTAAGGTAAAATGTGAAAGAAGCGAATGAAAATTCTTTTTCACACTGCAGGTGATTACGGTCTGAAGCACATTGTCTGAAAATGTGGTGGAGGCAGGTTCAATTGAGGCATTCAAAAGGGCATTATTGAAATAATTAGGGTCAAAAGGAAGAGGCAGGAAAATGGCATGGAGTTATAATGCTCACTCAGAAAGCCAGTGCAGTCACGAGGGGCTGAGTGGCCTCCGTCAGTGCTGTAACAATTCCATTTAACTGTTGCAATAGAGCAGTTGGTGGTCGCTACGCTATAGAATAATTCGTGTTGAGTCTGGCAGCAGTTAATTTCTTTAAAAAGTGCACTAATTGAAGTGCTCTTGAAGTGCAATTGTGATGCAAGAATGTTTCAGTTATATTATCTTATAGCTTTAAACTATGATGCACTGTCAAAATCATACAAACAATAAGAAAGGAGATGAATTGATTTGTAAGGTTAAGTGATTGAGATTTTTTTAAGGCAACACTGTTGCACCCAAATTAAGTGTGTAGCATTCATATTTCTTCAAGTCAAAGTAATAGTTTGATATAGTTTGAAATAGTTTGAAGACTAAACTAATGATGTTTCGTTGGTTTGTCCCATAATTGTTAAAAAACATGAATTGTAAAGTGAGGTGATGTGAAGAAATATATTTACTTTCCTGAAAATTGGATAGCTTAAGTATATCATTTGGTGAATATAAAGTCTTTTTCCACTGAAGAATGAAGTTAATATGTGGAGTTTTATACAACTGCTAATTATTTCAAAATTACAACATAAAGCACAGAACAACTGGACACCTCAGGTCACAAAGTATGGCTGTTGCTGCAGTGCACCCTGGCCAGTTGCATTATGTATATTCGCGGAACGACCCTATTCTCCTTTTATTTTCTCCAAAATCGGCAAGGGATCTAGTTTCAGATGTCATAGATCATCATAGAATCCCTACAGTGTGGAAACAGGCCCTTCAGCCCAACAAGTCCACACCGACCCTCAGAGAATCCCACCCCAGCCCATCCCCCTAATCTACGTATCCCCTGAACACACTACGGGCAATTCACCTAACCTGCACATCTTTGGACTGTGGGAGGAAACCGGAGCACCCAGAGGAAACCCAACCAGACACTGGGAAAATGTGCAAACTCCACACAGACAGTCACCTGAGGGTGGAATCAAACCCGGGTTCCTGGTGCTGTGAGGCAGCAGTGCTAACTACTGAGTCACCGTGCCATATGTACGGTTCGATTAACAGGAAGTTAGCCATTTTTAACGCATGGCTGGGGGAGCCTATCCCGATCCTCGCTCTCCCCTGAAAGATACACGCAGTGATTGGAACCAGGTGGACCTTGTTGACTGCGAGATCCTTGGGGTTGTCAACCAACGCCAATGGGGAAGCCCTGGCAGACCAATATTAGGGGATTTAGAATCCCCTCAGTTCAGGAGACTGACTCTGAGCTGACTGGCCGCAACCAGTGTACTGTGCACAAGTAAATAAAGGGGACTTGGTGATGGGATACCGGCCTCTGTGCGGTTATTTCAATGCCCTAAGCACAGATTGATGCTAATTTGGTGCTGCACTGACCAGATATACCAATTATGTTCATGACTACATGCACCGTATCCTGCCTTCATCCCTTTGCCACTTGTCATTTCTGTTCAATATATGGATGAGGTTTAATCACTGGGAGCTCATTCCTGCATTACAATTTAAACTAGTGATGTATTTCATTTCAAATGGTTAATTTCCTCAAATAGAATTGTGGCTTTGACTATCACTGCAATGTCTTCAATGTCAGGATCTTGTCTCCTAAAGAGTGGTGGAAGCAAATTCAGTTGTTAACTTTTGAAACAGAATTAGATAAATGCTTAACCAGAAAGAAAAAGGAAATGCAAAGCTACGGGAAATGAATGGATGGAGCGGAATGGAATTAATCGGCTGTGCCTTCCAAAGAGTTGGCACAGACATGATGGGTCAAATGGCTTTCTTCTGTGTGGCAAAACACATAGTAAAACATAACAAGCCGGAGGCCACGATGGCATATTGTTTCAATCTTATTAAAGGTGCTGGGCCTCAGTTCATCATCATCTCTTTTCTGTGGTTTATATCTTAACAGGTAAGAAAAAGAGCAGGGGACTGAAGTTATCGAAGGAAGTTTTCGAGCAACCACAGGCAAGCCCCACGTGAGTAGCCATAATTTTGTGAAACTTGGGATCGTTCAATGCTAGCCAGTACTGCAGAGGTTTTCTTTAAAAATCATAGAGCATGGGTAAGGGCTGACCAAGTGGGTAACATTTAGTATAATGGTCAGAAAAGACAGTTTGATCAGAAATAGGACAATTCACCATTACTGGTACAAATGAGAATGAGAAACCATGGTTATCTTTGTTAATTGGCTGGTGAGATTGTTGCATGTTAAATGTAATAAAGTAACTACATGCTGACAAATTTGACTGACTCTGTAAAACTTGTATTTTAGTCTCCTTCAGGAAACAAATTTCTGACTGAAGGAAGTAACTTATACAGGAATCAATGTTTCCTATGGGAATGGTAGGGTGTGGGCAAGGTTAGTTTAGTAAGGTGGTAATGGTTGACTACAACGGTCCTTGAGGAGGGTGGAGAGAGAAGCTGAGGTAGAATTGAGCTGCCATTGCTCGCAAGGGAGAGTATTGGTTTGTATTTGCTCGCTGATGAGAACTCCGTGTTGATTCCTCCGGGCTGTAGGGTGCCCAGGTGGAAAATAAGGAGGTGTTCTTCAAACATGCATTCACAAATTGAGTTCTCCATTTTCAAATAACCTTCCTTCCCATCCCCTGCCTCCCCTTCCAGCCCCACCTCCTCCCTTCCATTCCACCTTCTGACCCTCCCTTCCAGCCACCAAACAGATTCATCCCTCCCATCGACCAACCAGGTCGTACCTTCCACCAGCGTCCACCTATCACCACCACTCTGCCTCTTTATGTGCAGCTCACCCTACCTCCACATCCGGTCCTAAAAAAGTGTAATACCCGAAACGTTGACTGCTCCTTTCCTCCATAAGCTGCCTGGCCTGGTGTGTTCTTCCAGCCTCCTGTTTGTCTACCTTAGATTTCAGCATCTGCAGTTTCTTTTTGTCTCTAACTGAATATGGCTGATGTGGAGAGAGACACAAAGTGCAGAGTGTCAAGATGAAGAGCTCAAGGATTGGAGAGCAAATGTGGTTGGACTGTAGGGGGCCATAGAGTTAGGAAGGTGCATAGCTACAGAGGGATTTAAACACAAGGATGTGAATTTTACATGAATGGTCTTGGGGCTTCGGCTGGTGTGCAAAGACAGCAGGAACTTGGCCAAAAGAGGCAGTGTTTTGGAGGAGCTGAAGTCAATGCAAATTGAGCTAATTAGTGCTTTGGCGAGCATTGTAAACTTTGTGTCTGATGGTGACAAATGGCAGAGGGATTCAGTGGGAAGCTGGTACTATCTCTGGGCTAAAGACAGGTCATGTTACCGAGGTGCACGCATTTGTAATGGAAAGTGTTTGAAACAGAACCTCAGCACAGTGTTGAATAGGATACTGAGGTTGGAGGTTATATTCCCTTCTGTTGTTGAAGTGCTTTGCCTGTACTACTGAGTTCTTATGTTTCATTACCTGAATTTCACCAGAATCATTTCATTGCTGCATTTGAAGAAATGCTGATATATGCTTATGAGGATTTGATATGACAAATAGATTTGAAATGTATGAAGCAACATGATTCAACACATGAAGAATGTTTTACAAACAAAGACATGACTCACAGGATCAAAAGGATCAGAGAATTCCACAAACACCAGTGGGCATTTGTGCTGCGATCTTGACTCTGTTATGGTTAAGTAAAAGATATGAGAGATGCCACTGTCTAGATGATTGTGGCACAAGGTAAAGAGGGGATGGATGCAAGCCTTTAATTCTGCAGAGCGTTGATCGTGAGTGTTTAAAAATAGACCTGGTTGATTCGCTTGATTAAGAGATAATGATGTCGCTGGCATAAGACAAAGAGCAGGTATACAGATGAGAACTTGGCGCATCATAACGTTCCAGGCTATGGACCAAGTGCTGGTAAATGGGGTTAGGTTGAAGGTCCGGTGGTTCTCACATGGTGGTGCAGGCTTGATGGACTGAAAGGCCTTTCTGCACTGCATGCTTCTGTGATTCTATAGTTCCCACATGTTATAGAGATATCTTACTAGTATTTTCCTGTCTCTCTCTTCTGGTTACCATGTACCACTGCTGGTGCGAGACAGTCTTGGAGCCTTCATCTTCTATCCAGTTCGTGGCTGTACTGCAGCTCCAGTAGGTGATATGGCTGGAATAGCCATAGCCACTCCCAAATGCTGATCATTGCTTCTGAAGTAATTAGGATCAGCCATGGCCCTACCATCCAACACCTCAAAGACCACTTTGTAATAATTAGATTGGATAATTCAGTGTGATATGCGTATTTTGTTCAGAACAGCTCAATGCCATCCATAAATCCTGTTGGGGTATAATGTTTTTTTAAAAAAATGAACAATTGTTGCAAAACTATCTAAGTCATAGAGTCATAGAGATATACAGCACGGAAACAGACCTTTCGGTCCAACAAGTCCATACTGACCAGATAGCCTAAATTAATCTAGTCCCATTTGTCAGTATTTGACCCATATCCCTCTAAACCTTTCCTATTCACATACCCATCCAGATGCCTTTTAAATGTTGTAATTGTGCCAGCCTCCACCACTTCCTCTGGCAGCTCATTCCATACACGCAGTACCCTCTGTGTGAAAAAATTGTCCCTTAGGTCCTTTTTAAATATTTCCCCTTTGACTTTAAACCTAAGGCCTCTAGTCTTGGACTCCCCTACGCTGGGGAAAAGACTGCGACTATTCATCCTATCCATGCCCCTCATAATTTTATAAACCTCTATAAGATCACCCCGTCAGCCTCTGACCATTCAGGGAAAATAGCCCCAGCCTATTCAGCCTCTCCTTGTAGCTAAAACCCTCCAACCCCAGCAATATCCTTGTAAATCTTTTCTGAACCCTTTCACAACATCCTTCCTATAGAAGAGAGACCAGAATTGAATGCGTACTGTAATTTGTTGATATGTTTTGAAGTTAAGTCCAATTTCTCGGAAACTATGTTCCTACTCTGTGTTGACAGTGCACAGGCACTACAGTCTCTGGAAGTATGTGAGAGAATCTTTGTTAGAGGCACCCTCTGTAAACCATATGAGATGGAGTGGCACTGCCAGTGGATGGTATCTATTTTTTCCCCTTGATAGGGCCTTTAGTTGACCATTTGGCCCAGAGGAAAACTGATACGAACAAGTTTGCAAGCCCTTGACAATCTACTCTTGACAGAACTGCAATAACGCTGAATACTTCACGGAGTACTCCCAATTCTTCTCTATTGTAGTTAAGGCCTCAAGAACGCTAATTGTAGTCACCGACCTGTGAGACTAAGGACTATTCTTAGCACGAACCACTCCATGTACCTCCTCCACCAATGTTCCTTGGTAAATGAGATTGGCATGTTAGATTAGACAGTCCAAACATCTGCTCAAGGGCTTGTATTGCTCATGCGTTTCACTGCTGTTTTCGGTGATAGTAGGTGCCTTTCAATAAACACTCATCAACCCTCCCCTTTCCTCTGAGATCACATTGGGGCCCTATGGAGGAATTACTCATGAAACATAATGAGAAATGAGGTAACATGTTGTTTGAAGGATATTGAATTGTGTGTATACATTGAGGATCCAGCCACCATGTTTCCTAACATAATGAGCATCATGGGTGCTGAACTGACAAGAACATTATGTTTGTTTAAGGTGACCTGTGTATGAATTTTTGCCATGTTTACCACATAAACACTCGTACCATTAGCTAACACTTTGATATGAAGTTACAGGAAGTCTGATTTTCACATTGTATAACATCCTCAGTGTTGAACTATTTTGGTTTCTTCTTCCTGTCTTTGTCTGAAGCTGTTACTTCTATGAGCATATTTTGTATCTAATTACCTGATTGTTTTTAGGTACAAATCACAGATGTACTTTGGTAATTGCCAGCTGTTTTCTCGAATGTTTGATGACCGTTTTCCAACTAGTTTGCAGGTCTTTTAAAAGTAAATGTCATCATTTCTTCCATGCTGCAGTTGCACAATAAAACTTGGGTTTTATTTTTGACTCCCATGCTCTCATCTCCATCTTTAAGATTCCTGCTTTGATGAAATCTTTTGTCATGTCCCTTTTCATCTAATTGGATCTACAGCTGTCTGTGTTTTCTCCTGTTATATCCTTAGCTGGCCCTCCTTAGGGCCATATGCTCCTCCCCAAACTCTCCTCTTTCCCTTCAGTGACCACAGAATTGTTTTATTTTCTTGCTGATCATCAAACTACTAATCTGAAAGGGTGATTCCACTTCAAAGCATATATAGCAATTTTAGCACATCCTGTGGACACATTATTATGAATGCACATTATCCTTTGTTTCCTTTTGAAGAAGCCACATGAATTGTTTCTGAAGTTATGACATTGAGGAGAAGAAATGTCCTGAATGTATAAGTACACTGTTAAAGAGTAGTGTGTTCCAATCTTTGAAATCTCTTGCAAGATGCTTATTCTCTTCGACTGTGTGAAACATTACTGCCGTAATAAGCCCAAATATTTATTAATGTATTAATATTTACTATTTTTCTGAGAAAATAGAAACCTGTAACGCTGAAGTTCTTTCTCTGTAAAAGATTAAAAAACAAGACAAAGTTCGTTTCACCGCAGTTCAGTTGACTGAGAGGTGTTCTGTGCAATCAGCCATCAAAGTTGATTTTAAGCTACCATCCACTCACAATACATTCAGGTCCAGCCGTAAGTCTGTTCTGTTGGTCCCATGCTAACCTTTTTGATGGAGGAGAAACTGTGACTTGAGGTGTACCAGATAAAGTGAACATTTATTTGCTGAAACCACAGTGTACTTATTGAAGATATTCAATAAATAGACTCGATAAATTCACACAAGATTTTCTGACATCCTGTAAATTCCCTGCAAAAGAATTCCGTAAGCCCTCATTTAAAGTTGGCCTGTTGAACGTTGTTTTGCTTTAATGTTGATAAGTTAATGGGGCAGGTACTCTCGTTGATTGTTGTGAAATTTAACACTGTTCCTTGATGACTTCGGCTAGTACCTCTGCCCCCAACTGCCCAACCTCCGAGTCATGGCCTCTTCCTTCTCCATGAGTCACCCAGGTGTTGCTTCCCTCTCCTGGACTCACATTTCCATTCAAGATCCAGATTCAATCCGTACTGATGTCACGGAAGTGCGAGTCTCCAGAATTCACAAGATCGGGGCTTTTTCAGTCGCTGTTCTTCTCTTTTGAAATGATTTTCAAAGTTGCTTTTGTCTCACTGCTGTTCTCCGAATGCTCACTATGAGCACCTAGTCCAGGGAAGTGGCGAAGGGGGGAGCTTGTTTTATAAAAAGAGGAATTGCAAAAGCCTCAACGTGTTTGAAAAATTGGGACTTGCATTTTCACAACATCGGAACTCTTAACTTCAGGTTGGATCTTGATGGGAGCACAAGTCCGGGAGAAGGGAGGGATGTGAGTTTGGAGAGGGATGGAAAGGCCCTAACTCAGAGGGTGAGGGTGTGGATATGGCCTGCAGCTACTAGGAGCATCCGTGAGCGGGATACTGAGGAAGCAGGTTTGCTGCCGAGAAGGAGGTACTGTAAGAGCAAGTTACATTTTTCTTATCTTTTAACATAAGTTTAAAAATATTCCAGTTACTCAGTTAAAATTTAACAATGCAAAATATTTTACTTATACGGTGTACAGTGTTTTAATTTTTTCTGTTAAGAACGTTCCAACAGAACTGAACTATAGTTTTAAGATCGGTTCCTGTGGGAAGCAGTGTTTCACTTAAAGTTGTGATGTTCAGAAATGCAGCCACAACTTTAAGTGAGAACATACTGCACGCTGTGATTATATGTGTGTACCAATCTCATATTTAACCAGAAATTAATTTCTAATGTTCTTACCATTGTCATAATTTGTCATAGTTACAGAATAAATCTTGTATTTCATTTATTGGAAGTGTATCCTGATAACTTTACCATTTAAAAAGATGGATGTTTTTGAGAGGTAAATTGTTTAAAAATTTATTGCAATGAACTAAGTGTAACTTTGTATCAACTAGAATAGCTGATGCCCTGTCATATGTGAATCTATTATTCTTGTATCTCTGTTAACCTTGCATCCAGCCTTTGCTGTGAGCAACATTATCCTTCGTCTCTTGATTTGTACCAAGTTCTGTTCCTCTGTTGCCTGTGTTTGTTGTCTTACATTAACTGCCATTTAAGCAGTGCCTCAATTTTAAAATTCTCATCCTTATTTTCAAATCCCATTACGGCCTTGGTCTTCCAAATCTCTGCAATCTCCTTCATTCCCATCTCTCTCCAGGATCTCTGCATTCCTTTAATTCTGGAATTCTTGATGTTAATATCTCCAATTGTGGCATCTGTGTTTTAATGAACTTCCAAGGTGGATGTGGGCACAATTACAATGTTTAAAAAACATTTGGATAAGTATATGAATAGGAAAGGTTTGGAGGGATATGGGGCAGGAGCAGGCAGGTGGGACTAGTTTAGTTTGGGATTGTGTTCAGCTTGGACTGGTTGGACCAAAGGGTCTGATACCATGTTGTATAACTCTGACTCAATGACAGCATATTTCCTTCATGAAAGTTATGTTAATGAACTTGTTCGATTTTAGTGAACCTGGTAGATTTTTATGACAGCGGTTACATGGTTACCGTTAGGCTAGATTTTGAATTTCAAATTTCATTAAATTCAAATTTCACCATCTGCCATGATGGACACTGAACCCATGATCTGAGAACATCAGTCTGGGATTCCAGGTTAATTGTCCACTGACATATCCACAATACCACTGCCTAATGCCTCAGTTTAACAATCAAGAACATAGAACATAGAACAGTACAGCACAGTACAGGCCCTTCGGCCCACGATGTTGTGCCAAACTTTTACCCAAAACCGAAGGTCTATCGAACCTCCACCGCTACTTTATACTATCATCCATATGCCTATCTAATAGCCCCTAATGAGGCTGACTCCACTATCCTCTCCGGCAATGCATTCCACGCCCCTGCCACTCTCTGAGTAAAGAACCTACCTCTGACGTCTCCCCGATATCTACCTCCACTCACTTTAAAACTATGTCCCCTCGTAAAAGGAAAAAGTCTCTGGCTGTCTACTCTATCTATACCTCTGATCATTTTGTACACCTCTATCAAGTCACAGTAGACTAATGGGTTCGTAATTATTGTGTTCAATAACTGGGTTGTTTTTATCGTGCTTTTTGTGCACAGAATGTACCAGGAAATTGTTTCACATTGCTGGTTAGATGCCATTGTTGTAGCTGTACTGGAACAGCTTGGCTAGGGGTGTGGCATGTTTTAGAGCACAAATCTCTACCACCGTTACTGAACACTGTCAGGGCCCATAGCCTTTGCAGCATCCAGTGCCTCTAGCCATTTCTTGATATTATGTTGGGTGAATTTGTTCTCAGGCTGAATTGAATTGGCTGAAGACTGACATCTGCGATGCTAGGAACCTCCAGAGAAGGCTGGGTTAGAAGCAATAATCTTTAGCCTTATCTTTTGTTCTGCTGGGCTTTTACTTATGCATTCATGCGATGAGGACATCACTAGCCAGTGTTTATTGCCCATTCCTAATTGCCCAGTGAGTAGTTGAGAGTCAACCACATTGCTATGGATCTGGAATCAATGTCGTCCAGACCAGTTAAGGATGATGGATAATAGATGTCCTTCCTAAAGGACATGCGTTTTTCCTGACAATCAGGCAATGGTTTCATGGTCATCATTAAACTCTTAATTTTCAGATTATTTTTGGATTCAAATTCCACCATTTGCTATGGCGGGTTTCAAACCCTGGTCCCCAGACATGTCCATCCTGGGCCTCCTCCAGTGTCACAATGACGCCACCCGCAAACTGGAGGAGCAGCACCTCATATGCTGCCTTGGGAGCCTACAGCCCGATGGAATTCACTAGTTTTAAAATCTCCCCATTCCACGGCCTCATCCCATGTCCAACCCTCCCTCTCATCCCCGCCTTCTTGACCTGACACAACCTGTCCATCTTCTCTCCCACCTATCCGCTCCACCCATCCCACTGACCAATCCCCACCACTCCCTACCTGCACTCACCTATCACCATCCCACCTACCTTCCCCTGCCCCACTCCTCCTCTCTCTATTTATTTCTGAGCTCCCTTCCCCCTCCCCCATTTCTGAAGAAGGGCCCTGACTCAGAACATCAGCTTTCCTGCTCCTATGATGATGCCTGGCCTGCTGTGTTCATCCAGCTCTACACTGCGTTATCTCTGACTCCAGTATCTGCAGTTCTTTCCATCTCCCCAGAACATTACCTGGGTTTATGGATTAATAGTCCAGTGGTAATGCCACTAGGCCGTCGCCTATCCCTTCTCGCTCATCATTGAGCAGGGGATGTTGGTGGAACCACCTCCTGCATTGTGATACCAGCCTCTGCCAATGTGCCTTGTTCTTGTTGCCAAGTTGTTCAAACCAGTGCATTTTTTATTTTGCAGAAGAACAGAAATTTCCAATAATTTCACTGGCAAAGGCATTTTCTGATTTCTAAAAAAAATTGTACTGTAGGATACAGAAGTAGTTATTCATGAACATTATGTAAACTCCAGTCAGGTGTGCGGAGAGGATATCTACAAGAACTGTGATGTATTTTCCCTTCTGTGCTATCCTTTTGTATCTCTTTGTGGTCAGGACAGGAAGCACAGCCAGGGGACTGGGCGCTCGTTTTAAAGGCGAAGATCAGAAATAAATAAGGTGGACATACAGTGACTTGTGTGTCTGCCTTTCCAACTTTGCCTGAGGGGGCTGGATCAGAAAACTGACATCTATTTGGATGTGGTGTAGAAATATTCCCGGAATAAAGAGCAATTCCAGACTCCTGTTTTAAATATGTTTCGTATTGTTTACATACATGAATAGAAGGTTTTCCCTGCTGCCCATCCAGTTTGCTCTCCCAGGGGAGTGGGGGTGAGCTGGGTGGGATGGTATAAGGGCTGGGAGGGGAGAATGAGGGGACGGGATGGGGTGGGAGGTTGTGGGGGGCTAAGTAGATAGTTGGAATGGTATGCAGTTCTTGGCTGAGGATCTCTTCTGCTGTGCAGTTAGCGACTGAGGAAGAGGGTTCTGTTGCACTGTTAGTATTACACAGGGCTATCCAGCAAGACCTGTCAAGTAATGGTCAGCCCTGGCCCTTAGATTTGTGATCTGCAGATCCTACTGGCAATGTACTGTGTTTGTATGCTTTTCTTTCAGAAACAAATGCAGAAATAGCATCCTTCCTGAATCACAGGAGCAGGCCTTTTGGTCCATCATGTTGATTCAGGAATCTAAAAGACCTATTCATTTAGTCTCGGTCTCCCTCTCTTTGCCTCTACCCTTCTCGGATTTTCGTTTTTATTTTCAGATGTTTCTCTTTTGGGAAAAAAAATCTATCAAGGCTTTGCTTTCAGCATTGATATTGGAAATTCATTCCATGCTTCAACTCATATGTCATATAAATTTTCACAAGCCCCCACATTTGTTCTCAGGGTGATTTTTTTTCAACATAGATATTCCTAATCAACCTGTTCAGAGATGTTATGACACACTTGAACCCCAAATCTCCTGCCTCAGAGGTAGGGACACTACCACTGCACCACCAGAGCCCCTTGTGTTTTCTTTTTAAATTCATGCACTTGAGAACTCAAGCATCCACAACATTGACTCACCAATCAATGGGAATCATTTTTGTTAACGTACCAGTTCAAAATGCTGAATACTTTAACATACGTTTCCCCCCCCGATCACCAGCTTTATGCTCACGAAGAGAACCTCACCTTATCCAGCCTGCTTTCTCAAGTAGCCTCTTGTTCGCAAGGTTGTCTTTGCGAATCTCTTCTGTACCCTTAATGCAGCCTTGACATTTAATTGCAGCTTGAACCATCTGAAGCATGTTTCCTCAGTCTCCCGCGCGTAACAGCGAGTTCTCGGGGTTTGCTGCAAAAACTTGTGTAAGCTGAAATCCTTCTGTTTTCTCTCTGCAGTCCACCAAGAGACCTGGATTCAAAGGCTTGTATTGCTATTGGTGAAAAGGTAAGAGTCATTCTGATTACTCCCCCTAATGACTCCATCACTTCGGAATACGGCATGTGGAAAGAATGTGACATAAAACCATTATTTTGAGATGTGGTTTCATAGCCACGTTTTACGTCTCAAATTTTGTAACATCCTTTTTGTGGTGATGTGCTTAAAAACAAATCTTAGGCAGTGACAAATACTTAGAAAGGTACAAAGTGAATGAACTGTCCTTTTTACGTTGAATAATGGAAATTTTAATCTGGAAGCTCCCTGTGGGAGCATGCCATGACATAATACAGAAGTGCCCAACCTTTTGGCACAGATTGGGGGTGTAGGCACATTTCAATCTTTCTCTTCCTTGGGGGCCTGGTGAGCAAATTCCTGTAAAGGTCACCTTAACAGTTACGATGAGCTCCATGAGAAACAGTTCTAAAGCAATAAATGGATCATTTTAAAGGCGTGATTAATAGAAATGACTGTTAAAATATGCCAAGCAGCAAGGCTGAATAATAAAGCCTTTTTGGTTAAGAGGCAGAGCTGGAGAGAGAAAAAGAATCAGGCTCAATTCCTGAACAGAGGAATGGAGTGGTGACAGGGGCTGAGCTGAGGAACTAGGTTTAGCTAAAGCTGATCTTGGGTCCCCTCAGGCTGAACACTGTCTGAGCTGGTGGAATTAATGTGAAAGTGAGGGTTAGATGTGAATTGACTTTCACGCTGGAGTATCTTTCTGTCACAGCTTGTGTTCTGTCTCTTCTCCCCTTTTTCCCGTCTGTACACTCTCAGCTCTTTCACCCTCATTTCTGTCTCTTTCTCACTCCTCTCCCCCCACTCTGTCTGAACCCCCTCCTCCTCCTCTGTCTTACCTCTGTCACTGTCCTGTCTTATTCTGCCTCCTTTAATTTAAAAAAAAAATCCATGGGGCTTTGCACTTCAACAGTTTGTACCAACAAACATTTCGTGGTGAAATGAATATTTTTTGTGATTTGATTAAAAGCGATTTCTGTTTCAGAAGTGAAAGGGAAGTAAAATTAGCAGGAGCAGTCCCAGTGTTCACTATCACAGCCCGTCTCACAGTTTCCTTCCACCAGCTGAAGCCCATTGCTTTCTCCCCATTTCCAAAATCTTCCCCTTGTACTTAGTTGTATTTCAAACTCTGGTTTCAAATAAAACATAAATAAAATTTTAGAAAATCAATATACTTTCACTTAACATCATTTATCTCCTGGCCTATGATCCTTCTCATGTAAGGCTGAGTAATGATTAATTATGGAAACTCTATGAATGAGCTGTAAATTTCTAAAGTTGAGATCAAGCTGTACAAAATGCTCTGGTTCAGAGGTTTTTGCCCCTAGGTTAAGTTGTAAGCTGTTTGCTTGTTGTTCACTCTGATCAGAGACATGTATGACAAAGTGTTATTTTTTAAGATTAGTTTATTTTTCACAATGACAAAATAACATGGAATTTTACAATACCCCTGCCTGTTCCGTCTAAAAGGTATTTATGCTGCGTACAAGTCTCCTCCCAACGTCATCTCATTGGTGGACTTGTTTAGTTAACTGGGCACTGCTGATTTTTGATATCGTAGTCCTCTGTCCTTGAATTGGTAGAATTGTTGAGAATAAAGCCCTTAAATGCCTGCATAATTGTCTGAGCATGAGGGCCTGTTGTGTATTTTCAGATAGGAATTGATTGGAAGGGCGTTTGCAGCACAGTGGTAGAGTCTGAACCTTTGAGACAGGAGGCCTGAGTTCAAGTACCCCCCTGCTCCAGAAGTGTGTCATAACATCTCTGAACAGGTTCACTAGAAAATATCTAGGAATTGATTGGATGAACAACAGAAGCTATAAAAGTCAGAGATAGTAGGAACTGCAGATGCTGGAGAATTTGAGATAACAAGGTGTAGAGCTGGATGAACACAGGCCAAGCAGCATCAGAGGAGCAGGAAGGCTGACATTT